GGTACGACTTGTTGTCCGTTTGTACCTGTTTGCTAAAAGTAACTCAGGGAATGAAGTAAATCTCTTTCTTGTCCTTTTTACTATGTGCTCTAGTCACTAAGTTTTCGTTATCCGTTCTGCTCATCACTAAGAAAACAATAACATAAAGCATATAACAAAGAGAGTAGCAGTGATCGAGATAACATAGACAGAGCTGATATCCTTCACTACAAACACAGACGACAACATATTCACCGCGGCTTCATCTTTCATGTCCTAACCAAGTTGTACACATTCTCTCATCTCTCTCAATTCCTATTCGACCACGTGCCACTTAAACGATCACCTGTTGTGTACTACCTTGACCATCGTAAGTCATGTCATAACAAGTTGTCACATTTAACATCTTTCATGTCAAAACTCAAGTTGTAACATTCTTCACTTTCAATGTCCATAAAACTCCAAGCTGTACATTCTTCATCTTTCATGTCCATAACTCAAGTTGTACATTTCATCTTGTCATGTCCATAAACACAAGTTGTCATTATGTCAATCTTTCATGTCCATAACTCAAGTTGTACATTCTTCAGTTTCATTTTTCAGCAGATCTTTTTATCATCACTCATTTCATGACTATGGTCTTTATAGCATGAATTCACGTCATCGTTTAAAACATAACAGGGATTATATAAACATAACATTTCATAAACATGAGGTAGATGAAGGGTGGAGCCGCAAACCCACTCATGTTTTCTTATTCATTAGCTAACAATGACATTATTGTTCTATTAATATAAAGGGAGGTCAGGTACTCTTTAAAACAGCTGCTAGTTATGGGTACTTTTTACTGAAGTACATTTCAAAGCCTCTTTACTTTGACTTGAGTAAAGAAGTTTAGTCAGTACTTCTACTTTCACCAGAGTATTTTAAAACACGAGTATCTGTACTTCTACTTGAGTAAAGCATGTGTGTACTATATCTACTAATGATGTTTGCAGTGAACCTTTCACTTTAAAGATCTGTTTCAAAACTTGCTTTGACAAAGTATCGTGCGGGTTTATCTGACTGCTTCTCTCTTTGTATTCGCCCAGAACCCAGACGGTGCCAACGGTTTCCTGCCAAGAAAGGACATCAAACCGGAGCTCCAGTTCCCCCTGAGGCCCGGCGGCGGCCATACTGGACACAGCGTGGACGTTGACGACTTCATCAAATCGAGGATTGCGGAGGCCGACAGCGACGCCACGGCACCGCCCTACGACTCCATTCAGATCTACGGATACGAGGGCAGAGGATCTTTGGCGGGGTCGTTGAGTTCCCTCGAGTCCGTCACGACCGAATCCGACTTGGATTATGACTACTTGCAGAGTTGGGGGCCGAGATTTAAGAAGCTGGCGGATTTGTACGGGACCAAAGACTGCTTCATGGACGATGAGGATGAAGAAGACTCTTAGCAGTGGTCTTACTGAGTGGACGCCCCCTTCTGATTTATTGATTCCATGAGGATTTGTTAACTGAGGGTTAACACTCCCCAGTACCCACTTGTTACCAACCTGATCAGTACATGCCAATGTGTCAACGGACGTTCCTTTCCATGGTCCTCCAAGACGATTTGTTAATGAACACGTGAAGAACGCTTGGACTACGCTACCACTTTTTCCCCAAATGTCTCCAGTGTGTCTCTTTCCCCTTTCTCTTTCTACAGACTCGAGCGTTGCAGGGCTGGGAGATCTGTTATGTCACCAGTTTGTCCGTTGGAAAGTCAATTGTTGGGGAAAAAATGTTGCTGCGTGATCAAAATGAGCTGCTTTTAGCTAGCTGTTTAGTTTCTTAGAGGTTCAACACTTTTCTGGACTGGATTGACGTAGGTCCTCGATGGATCCCCAGAGAGATTTGACCTTGACAAGTTTCTGAATGGGGTGTATTTCAAGGAAGCAAAGCGAATGAAAAGAAAAAGTTAGCATGGGATCCAGCAGCTGCCTGATGTTATGGAAGAGAAGTGTTTATGTGTCGGTGGGGGTGAAACAAAATGCTTTTCCAATGTGTTGTTGTGTGTGCAGATTCAGCAGGTACTGTGGTTTATATAGCGTGACAGACTCTGGGTTGTTGATACTCTGAAGGCGCTCGCAGCATCTTCACAGTATGGTGGCCTTATAATAAATAAACAACAACTCCAGGGGTAAACAGAACAAGAGTAACAATAGAGACCGCTAGCTTCAGTAGCGACACGCAGACAAATGAACTCACGAGGACTGTCTGAGTGTCTGTGAACATGCTACAGTACCAACTCCTTTTTTTTATACTCCCAAAAAGACTCAACATGGATTTGATTTGTGGATGACTCCATGTTTTTCATTCTTCACTGCAGAGAAGATGTGAAAAAAAAAAGCTGCCCTTCTCCACGCCACCGATTGTGTCCCCCCCTTTCCCTCCCATCACTTCCAAAACACAGAGTCCACCAATGAACGATCACTTCCTCATTCAGAGTCCACCAATGATGATCAATCAGTAAAAACCTGTGAGCTCTAAAAATCGCCTTAATCTTAACGGACACTCTTGCAACGCAGTGCATTCTCTCCGTTCTCCTTTTTGTTTTTGAAAAGTATATCCAGAAAGCAAACTATTCTCCATGTTAGGTATGTACAGAGCGGTGTGCAGACATGTGATATATCACTTCTCCTGCACTCTTGAAACAGGATGTGGGGGTTTCTGTCGGCACGGTACATGTAGAGC